GTGTGTGTATTAGTGTATGTGTGTATTAGTGTATGTGTGTATGTGTGTGTGGTGCTGTGATATGGTGTGGGCATGTTCATTCACATGTAACAGTAGTCCAAGGTAAAGTGAAGAAGACATTTTACTTTACCCCTCAAGAGAACCGAGAAAGACCAAGTGGGAAGATGCCAGAAAGGATGAAGATCCACAGAGCTTGCTGAGACGTGAACCTAAGAGGAGGAGAAAAGAGAGCGCAGACTCTGTTCACTACGGAAATCTCTAGGCTTCCAAATCACTGGATTGAGAGTTAGATGGCCAGGAAGGCTGGCCTTGGGGTATGACCGTAAAAATCATGACCCAGGATCAGAGAAGCGTCCAGTCTGTGGAAGTCAGGATTCAGTGAACTAACCCGAGTGTTTCTGCAGTTGGAGGCCCCTCCATCTTTGTGTTCTAAGCACACAAGTATATGATGAGCTTTGAGAAGATTCAACAGATATTTGAATAACAAGTAATTATTTCTAAAAATTGTGGAGAACTTGTTTTAAGCATTCAAGGATTCAAACTTTAGCAGGCTGGATAGTTCTAGTAAAAATCTGGTTTTCCCCATCAGTCCCATACATGTATATAAAAGTACATATGTATATAGATAAGTTGGAGATTAGAGGGTAGGGAGGCAAAGAGGGGGGAAGAAAGAGAGAGAGACAGAAATAGAGAGAGAGAGAGAGAGAGAGAGAGAGAGAGAGTGAGTCAGTGTGTTCGTCAGGTGGGGCTGAGGCCCAGGAAAGGGGGCGGCTGAAGTGTGAAAGTGGTCTGTTGGCAGGAAGCTGCCTTTGTGGGACCAGAAAGCATTTGGCTTTTGTTTTGGTTTGGTTTGTTTTTCTTCTATTTAGACCTTCAACTAGCTGGATGAAGCCCACCTACATAACGGAAATAATCTTTTCTCAAAATCTGATTTAAGTGTTAGTTACACATTAAAAAAAATACTCCAACAGAAGCATTTAGAATGATATTTGACTAAATGTTGTGATCTAACTGGATTTTCATTTGTTTTCTGCGCTGAGAGATTGAGCGCATTTGCTGAATCTGGGAGAGGAGAAACACGAACGCTTTGACTGGATTTCTACAGAACACCTTTGTATAATGGATTAGTTTCTCTGGGCAGTTTCCACACAGCGTCTGGTCCTAAGCGTCACAGGTCAGCTAACATCCTAAAGTTTGTGCTGTTTAGTTAGAGGGTGACAGTTTCCCTGGCTTTCCTGGGGGCTTTTGGGATGCTGACATTAAACCCTCCTCCTTGCTCACAAAACCCTCCTGTCTTGGGAAAACCAGGATAAAGATGGCTGTAATGTGACATGCCGAACTGCCCCCCCCCCACTCCCCTCCAGGAGCCGAGAAATAAGAGAGTTATTGTGTGGGCAGATGAAAATCGCCTTCTGGGGTTGCTCATCCTCACTGGTAGAAATGCTAAAATAAACAGATGGCCAACCACAGAGTGTGGCCCCTGAGTGGCTTTATCATTTGTGAGGGCCGGTCAGACAGGCACCGTGCGCTGTCCAGGTGACCTCCCATCCGACATCAGATTTGCTTCTGCGGCCTCTGGCAAAGGTCAGGGCCTGTCCACGGGGTTCACGCGCTTGCATGAGGCGCCGAGCAAGGCCTGGGATTGGCCCTGGTCTCCTGTAGGTCATAGGAGTATCCATGACAACAGGGAGGGGTCTTCTAGGTGTTGAGAGCCTCTCCCCCCCTCCCCCGCCCGCGCCTGGCCTTTTTATTCCACCTGAACAAAGACACGGAGCTGTCACCTTCATATGGCTCTTGTTTGCTTCCTGGACCCATTCGCTCAACCGGTATGTAGAAGTAGTTGGTGTATTCTAAACTGAGTTTGGGGCCGTAGGTAAGAGTCACCGCGTCTCGGGAAGATGCCTACCGGGAGAGCTAGGATGGCACCGATATCTTGAGGAACCCTCACTTTCCTGTTAGCCAAAGCAGAGCCCTCTAAGTATGTTTCCACATTGGAAACCCACACCAAATTGCTCAAAGAAAGAATGCGTTCTACTAAAACTGTGTTAAAATAAGACATAGGGTAGAGACCATGTAGAATGTTTATCTCTGTAGACATGGTCATGGATGCTTTCAACTCGGGCGTTAAACTGAACCCACTGTCCTCAGCTGCATAAACATCTCTGCCCTTCCCTATCCTGTCCAAACACAGAATCTCTCTGGCTTCCGGCCCACTTTAAATGTAAGGAGCGAGAGCTTCCAGGTAAATTCACGCGCTGTCATTTTCTAACTGTCTGACTGTGACCAGGGGACATTGGGAGCCTCTGTGGGTTTGGTGCGGAGCACGGAGCACTGGAGCCGGCGCAGGGAGAGTGTAGGGTTCCTGCCAGGATGGCTGACGGCACAATCCCCCTAGGTATCATAGTCGGATCCGCATCCTCCCCTCTCAGCACCCGCTACAGTCCGCTTTGTTCTGGTTTGGGGAGCCCCTCATGTTCTGGCAGAAAGATCTGAGAACTACTTAAGAGATGCCGTGGGCTTACGGAGGGATGGGACGGCAGAGGATGCCGGAAGTGACAGCTTTCACTGCCTTGCTGCCCCCGTGTCTCCTCCCTCGCTTTGGATTTGAAGTTCTGCTTTCTTTTATATCCTGGTCCTGTCGCAGACTGGGTTCAGGTTCTGAGATAGGGAAGGGGCGTTGGCTTGAAGTAATGAAGTGTCCGCCTGCCAGATGAGTTCCACACAAGCGGCTGGTCCTAAATAGCTCCAGCCATCTTTATTTACACATCCAAAACAAACATGCTTTTCCGTACTAACAATTTTTCCCATCCTCCAATGCTAACCTCTGGCAAAAATATGTCAAATATGCCCCCCTTTTACATCAAAACATCTTTTAAACTACAACAACAACAACAACAAAATAAACACTTGCATTTTGCTAGCTTGGCCAAATGTGAAGCCAGGTACATCCTGTTTAAACTAAAAAGTGATAAACATAGGCGCACCTTTTCAAGAACAATAATATCATTTAAAACTTAACAAACCATCTTTACGGAAACGGGTGAATTGCCTCCTATCCTGTCAGCACTGAATCAGGACAGCTCCCAGGGTCTGGAGTGGCAGACCCCCCCAGATAGGAAACCTGAGAAGCCTCAGCTTCCAAAGAATGTTAGGGGAAAATATTTGAGAAAAACATAGAGTTTCCAGGAATGAGCACATCTGTCCCATGCGTGACTGACAAGGTGACACTGAAAACTGCCGAGGGAGTCACCAATATTGAGAGAGAGAAGAAAGCGTGCAGGCTGCAGGGTCCCAGCAGTAGTCGGAACCGTCCGGAAGTCCACTGGTCCTCACCGAGTGAGACTGTCCCTGTGAGCTTTTGCATCCTCTGGAGACCCGTTGGATAATCACTCACATACTGATCTGAAATTAGGCTGCATGACCCCCAGCCCTTTATAGCTCCCACCTAACCCAGTTTGGTTTGCTTTCTATTGCTGTAATAAAGCGGCATGACCAAAAGCAACCTGGGAAATAAAGGACTTATTTCAGCTTACTATTTGTACTCCTTCGTGGAGGGCAGTCAGGGCAGGAACTCAGGGCAGGAACTCAGGGCAGGAACTGAAGCAGAGACCAGAGGAATGCTGCTTGCTCTCCGTGGTTTGCTTAGCCTGCTTTTAGAGCACCTAGGACCACCTGCTAAGGCATGGCACTGCCCACAGGCAGCTGGGCTCTCCCGTGACAGTCATAGTCAAGGGAAGAGCCCAGAGTTGCCAAAAGACCAGTCCAATGGTGGTCATTCCTCAAGTGAGATTCCCAGACATGTCTAGGTTTGTGTGAAATTGACAAGACCAACTAGCACACCCTCTTGTGTGTGCATGTGTGTGTGCTCACTTGTGTGCGGAAGCCAGAGGTCAACTTTAGGTGGCTTCAAGATTACCATCCATCTTCGGTTTTTGAGAACCTGGTGTTCACCAACGTGGCCAGCAAGCCCCTGGAATCCACCTGTGTCCACCTATCCCCAGCACTAGGGTTACAGGTGTGCACCGCCACAGGTGCAGGGTCACAGGTGTGCACCGCCACAGGTGCAGGGTCACAGGTGCGCACCGTCACAGGTGCAGGGTCACAGGTGCGCACCGTCACAGGTGCAGGGTCACAGGTGCGCACCGTCACAGGTGCAGGGTCACAGGTGTGCACCGCCATAGATGCAGGGTTACAGGTGTGCACCACCATAAATCCAGGCCATGTTTTTATACACTGAAAGTGTGCTTTCTACCCCATCTGCTCACTGGAACTGTCTGAGAACCTTACTAGAACCCCTGTCCTGCTACTTTACTGGTAGCTTCCATTCGCTGGTGTGCCAGTGTTGCCCTGGAACATAGCGAGGCAGATGCCAGGCTTCCTATCCTCAAAGATCTGCCTCAGAGAGTCGGATGTAAGCCCAGGCTTTGCTTGTTTGACTTTGGACCCCTGAGAAGATTCTGATAAACAACCAGGACGAGCAACTCTTTGAACAGCGTGGAGAGAAGAACTGGCTTCATTAGACTCTCTTTATTGGAAAATACGAAACAAATTTTATAATCAATAGTGGAGTGGAGCATGGGAGAATTTTATGAGACTGAATGAAAGATGCACAAAGTCAGAAGGATCATGTGGAACTACCAGGAAGCAGATGGGATGCAGCCCACGCAGGAGTTGGTCCTTAGGAAACAGGAACTGGAAGTGATGTGTAGAGAACCTGATACCAGGAGGCAGAGAGTGTACAGAGATGGAGCCTCGCAGGACAAAAAGACATAGAAAAAACAGAGGTAGGGACAGGAGAGGACCGGTCCATAGGAAGATAGGGAGGAGTAGTCAGAGATCTCTGCCTGGACTGTCCCCCAAACTAGGAATCTCTGTCACTTCTCACACACCACCCACCTCTTCCTGTCACTCACCCTTTGCCCACAGCTCCGAGATGCAGTTTCTTCACCACTTCTGTTGTTGCTGCCTTGATTCAGCTTTCTCCAGTGACTGGTTCCTCTGCAGTGGTCTCCTTCAGCCTGTGCCCAGTGCAGCGTGATGACTCACTCTGCCCCGTCCTTCGGGTGGCAAAGGGATAGGTCTTTTCTCTCCTGTTTTCATCTGCCACATCTGGCTGCCAGCTGGTCTGATGTTTCCTGGCACAGTGTGCCCGGCCTTTGCTCCTGTGGTTCTTAGCCTTTTCTTCTGTTTGGCAGCCTCCTCCTAAAGCCTTCAAAATCAAAATCAGAAATGACCAGGGCTGGGGAGGTGGCTCAGTGAACGAAAGCACCTGTGGTCCAAGCCTGGCAAGCTGAATTCAATCCCCGAAACTCATAGCAAGGGGGAGGAGAGAACCAGTTCCACACAGTTGTGCCCTGACATCTACTTGCATGCACGCACTCACCCACTACACACACACACATACACACAAGCACACACGTGCACACACAGACACACATGAGCAGACAGACACAGACACATAGACACAAGCGCACACATGTGTGCACGCATGCGCACGCACACACACACACACACACACACACACACACACACACACCATCACCACCACCACTAGTGATGATAATATAAAGCCTCTCAGGGGCTGCTGCCTTTATCCATCGCTCCCCAATGGTTCACGAGGCTCCTGTAGGGAAAGCCCGGGATGTGAGTGTGAGCCACGGGGAAAGGCTTCCATTCATACAAGTGTGTATCTCCTCTACCTAGACAAACAAAAGAACAGTTTCTTTCCTTTACACATTAGTTCTTAAAGAAATGTCTCCCAAACAGCAACTCTGGACTGGTGAGACAGCTCAGAGTAAAGAAGCCAGCCAGTAATGTGATGATCTGAACTAGGAGAGAACCGGCTTCTGCAGGCGGTCCTCTGGCTTCCTTAGGCACACCATGGCACCCTCCACACACACACCATAAACAAGCAAACAGTTTTTGCCAGGGGGTGGTGGCTCAAGCCTTTAATCCCAGCACTTGGGAGGCAGAGGCAGGCGGATCTCTGTGAGTTCGAGACCAGCCTGGTTTACAAGAGTTGGTTCCAGGACTACAGAGAAAAAGCTACAGAGAAACCCTGTCTCAAAAAGCCAAAAGAAGAAGAAGAAAAAGGAGGAGGAGGAGGATGAGGAGGAGGAGGAGAAGGAAGGAGGAGGAAGAGGAAGAAGAGGAAGAAGAGGAGGAGGAGAAGGAGGAGGAGGAGGAGAAGGAGAAGGAGAAGGAGAAGAAGAGGAGGGGGAGGAAGACAAGGAGGAGGAGGAGGAGGAGGAGGAGAAGGAGGAGGAGAAGAAGAAGAAGAAGAAGAAGAAGAAGAAGAAGAAGAAGAAGAAGAAGAAGAAGAAGAAGAAGAAGAAGAAGAAGAAGAAGAAGGGTTGTGTGTGTGTAGGCCAAAGGTCAACCTCTGACATTGCTCCTCATGAGTCATACATCTGGTTTTTTTGTTTGTTTGTTTGTATGCAGACAGAGTCTCCCCTTGGTCTGCACACACTAGGCTGGCTGTTCAGCAAGGCCCAGGAACACCCTTGTCTCTGCCTCTCTACCACAGAGATTACACATGGCTGCCACCACCCTGCTTTTTATGGAGGTCCCTATGCCTATAAGGCAGGCATTTGCGGGCTGAGCCACCCTCCCAGCCCTAATCCTCATGAGAAAAGAAGAAAAAGCCATCAGATATTTTAGGGGCGTGGAGACGGAGCGCTAGGAACACACATTTCCGCCACATGGGGAACACCTGTCAGAGCCCAGCTCGCGGTGTGAGAAATGTCTCAGATCTGTGGAAGGTGATAAGGATCACACAGATTTAAGGGCACATGAGAAGATCTGAAAAGCCATAGAATCAAACAAACTCAATTTAGGAGGCCCGCAGTCAAGTCGTCTCCGGAAGTGACGCAGCCAGACATCCGCACTGGAGATGAACCCAGATCCTTACACCACTTTGCTTCCGGATCCTGGAACTTTCCTTTACAAACTGATATTTCGGATGCCTTCTGAAAAGTATTGCTAAACAATACATCAAGCTGAGATGCACTGAAATCCCAATCTTGCCTCTTCATTGCTGTTTGACCTCGAATAACGCACTGGGACACCCCGATTCTCCATCTCCTCGTCTCTAATGTAGTGACAATAATGAACGTCTTGTGAGGACTTTCTCAGAAATAAAACCAGGCCTGTCCACTCTGTTTACCACGACGACGCTCTGATGCCACCGTCCCCCCAGCTTTGCGTTGAAAACAAGCTACTCCCATGCCTACCCCGCCTCCTCTCCATAACTGATGTCTTCCAGTCACAGACAAAAACTCAAGCACCAACCGGTCAGCTTCAAATGATCTAATTACTGAGGAAGGCGTATTCTAGTCTGACTTGCCTGTTCTAGCAATTGGAATAAAAGTGAGAGAAAGGAGCGTATCTAAAACAAATTAATGTCTTGATTTTAACCTACTATGGCCATTGTTCACTGTTGATATAAAATATATATACATATATATTATAACAACGTATATCCATGATAACATATGTGTACGTGAGTGTGTTGTATGATGAGCTAAAAAAAAAAGACATGAGCAAATGAGCCGCATCCTGTAGGCACCTATACAGACCTGTAAAGAGAATGTTTCGTAACTGCTTAATTTAGATGTCTTGTACCAAGCTTGTAAGTGAAATGCCAAAATGCTGTTGAAAAGCAGAATCCTGCCAAAGATGGGCAGATGCAGTTTCTTTAATGAATTATTCTGCAAAATAGCATGCATAAGAACAGCAAGCCACAGAAAGTGGGAATGTTACAGAAACATGCATTCAAGAAGAAGTTTCCAGGCCTCTCAGGACAGTAAAAATAAAAGTGAACATAGGAAGATTGAAATCATTTTCTTTCTATATGTTTTGCCCTATGTTTATTTCTGACCCTGACAAAAGCAAAGTTGCTTTAAAAATATAACATTTTTTTTTTTTTGTAAGAGCAGGGCACTGGGCTAGCAATACAGGGAAACTGTATAGAGCAATAAGCAATCAGTTCGTCAGGAAATCTGATATCCCAAGACCAAAACTCCAAGTCCAAGATAGCACCAGAAAGCCCAAACTATAGTTGAAATGGTTGACTTTAAACATTATACATTTTTACTCAATTAAAAAAAATCACAGCTTATTCCAAATCTTCAAAGTAGTAGAAAAAAGCAGTTAGTCCTTAGTTAGGCTGTAACTGCTGTTCTCTGATAAATCTTATATAAAAATTAGTAGTGATGAAGTCATGACCAAAATGTGTTTCAATATCACCATTATCATCAAGGAGATCGTTAACCAACCAGCTATCAGTTTTATTTTCTTTATCCCTATAATTCATTTTGCAAATAAGGCATTTAGCGTGGGGGAATCAAAAGAAGTCCTGGGTGGATGTGTATTGTTGCCATGGGTCCAGCCATTTCAAAACCCCAATTCTTATTTGCCCATATGATGGGCAAAGCCTTCTCCGGTTAGGGGTAGAGCAACAGCAAAGCAAATGCCGACGGTGTGTGCGGAAAATTTCCACCTTAGCATTCTCCGGCGGCTGTTTACGGCCTGCAGACTGCTCCCCTACCGAAGCGGCGACTACTGAGATTAGCTAAACCCAGAAACTCTGCCTCTTTATCTGTTCGTAATAACGCTGCGTGCGATAGCCCCGCCCCGGTGAAACTCTATACAGCAAGCATGCTGAGCGTTCAGGTGCTGCGGTTTCTCCATCAGAGGGCCCAGACCGCCAGAACTCAGTTTTTCTGTGTCCCTGAGTTTGTCCTTCACGCCATTGCCACCCGAGTTAGGTCAGTCCCTGAAGCTAAGAACAAGGCAACCTAGGCTCCAATAGAAGGCTCGCTGAGCAGAGTGAAAACCTGAATTCTGATCCCAGCACCCACATAAAAAGTGGGGTGTGGCAGTGCCCATGTGTAATCCCAGCACCAGGGGTGCAGAGAGGCCCACCCCGGATGGAGCCTTAGGGCTAAGCAGCCTCATGAACCCAGGAACTCCGGGTTCTGTGGAAGACTGTCTCACCAAACAAGGTGGGGGGCAACGGAGAGAGACACCCACCTCTGCCATTGACCCCTGGCCTCAAAAACTCACCCGAAAATGCATACACCCTAAACAAACGAAACCCAAGCAAGCCATCTGGTGCATATTAGAAAATAATGAATTCCCGGAAAGAAGATGAAGAAACAGCGCAATCAAAAGCTGCCAATGGCTGCCGTTTGTTTCAAAGTCCAGCATCTCACAGGAGCTAAACAGTCTCCATAGACCTGTGTTTGGAATTTTAAGATGACAGTATGTTTGTTGGCGCAGGAAGGTGCATGCGTGTCACCGCGGACAGGAGCAGGTTAAAGGGGGCCTTGCAGGAGTCGGGTCTCCTGTCACGTGGGCCTTAGGAACAAAAAAAAACCCTACACACATCCTTACCTGATGACCTTTGCTTGCGGCTCAGAAATTCTCACTCTTAACAGCGGACGATAGCACAGTGTCTTAGAGGAGCTTCCTTTTCTGAGCTTTAGATCCCAGTTGTTAGCCAGGTCTTTCTTCCCCTGTTGCCATGACTCCTGGGGCGTGGCCGCACGTCACTTCCTCTCACACGCTTGCGGTCCTAGATCTAGTCCACAGATATTTGTAGATCATTCGTGAGAGATTGAGATGTCAGAATGACCTGGGAGGAGGGGTGTAGTTTATGTAAAATCAGTATCTTGGAGCCAGGTGGTGGTGGCGCACGCCTTTAACCTCAGAACTCGGGATGCAGAGGCAGGAGGATCTCTGTGAGTTCAAGGCCAGCCTGGTCTACAAGAGCTAGTTCCAAGACAGGCTACAAAAGCTACAGAGACAGTATCTTTTATTCTTGTTTTATTCCTTATTTACTGTGGAGTCTTCCTCTCCTGCTGAAAGACTTGAACTTACAGACCTTTGTTTTTTTTTTTTCTACTAAACCTTTCCCCCATTTTCATATGTTACACTGGCTCTTTCCCCAGCGTCCTGGTGCTTCTCCTGACCTCCGTGAAATGGTAAACCGTTGCTACCCTGCAGAGAAGTCAGCCACGTCAGCAAGGACTCTGCAGAGTAAGTCTCGCCCTTACAGGGTTGAATGGGACTCAGTAAGCAGTCTGCTGTCTCTCTCTTTCTAGAGCTTTCTATCTCCAGGCTTCCCTCTCACTCCCAAAGATGGGGTCAAGACACGGTGTCCTGCTTGGTTGTCCAAACACATGAGTTCAAAGGAGAGGTCGTTAAAGAAAAAAAAAGTGTCTATAGACCGTGGTGTAGGGATTCCTCCCAACAAGGCCTAAAATGAATTGGGAATATGGCCACCGCTCCAGAACGTTCTAACCTCACATCCCGGATCTCAGGAAACTCACCTTGAAAATCTGTTTCGGCTGCCCTCAGCATGTAGGAATGACGTACTGCTGAGAAAGTCCATCAGCTCTAGGTGAGAAACGCGGGGTTTCAGCTGCGCTATTGAGTAAATTCCGTGGGGAGAGTCAACAAGCCCTAAACAATGCGCGCCCTGAGCCAGCGGTTACGCAATGCAGCGCGCAGCAGAGGTGAACCGGGCTCGCTTTTCCCAGGTTGGCTTCGTCCCGTCCCGCGGTGATCTCAGGGGGTAACCTGACCTTGAGTTTAGTGCAGGCGCTATTTCCTTGAGCTAATTGCCTCCTGCCACCAGATAGCGTCCGTCCGCAGCTGGTTATCTCCGAGGCAAAGAGCCGCACTGTTGGAAGTTCCCACTTAAGTGGGGCATGAGTCCAGCCAACTAACACGGGGCGGTGAAGACAACGGAGTCACTGTGTGTCTACTCTTGGCCCTGTGCCCGAAGCACACAGTGTCAGAGAGCCAATCTGGAGAGCCCGCCCTTTGCAGAAAGATCAGCTGTCTGGATGATTTAATTGGGCTTCCCCCCTGTTAATCCTGTATGTAACCCATTGTTACCGTTATTAAGCAGCATCCTGTGGAAATTTCTGGAAATCTAAACACCGGGCGCTCAGCCTGTCCTGATGATGTCAGCTTCTGCTTTAGTTTAAATATTTTTAGTGGAAAGCCAAGTCAAGCCAGACTTCTTGTTTCCAATGGGGCAGTACCGAGTGTGGGCAGGAGGACAATGCATTTACAGTAGACTTACCACCGGGAGGTTGGTTATGTCAAAGTTTCGCCTTGCAGCTCGTTAACTGGATGTTTCTGACAGAGCCGGACATGACACGCTCCTCCACCCTGAGGGGATCAGCAGGCCAGGAGCCATCTTTCAGGGAGCCTGACCACATAGCTCTTCACTGTATTAGGAGGGATCTCACAATCCCTGGCTTTGTTAATCTGCCTTGATATAATTAGCGGTACTTGAAATTTCCGTCCTAGGTGTCAACGAGAAAGTGAATGCAAGAGCTAGCTATGGCTTTTAGAAATGAATTAGAGTTTTATGTACATTGTTCTACATCACAAAACAACCAACCAACCCACTTTACTGGTTCTAGGCTTTTCCTAAACGAAGAGCTGAAGAAACAGCGATTTGTTTGGAAGGGGCAGCCAGGGCACTTGTGCAAGCAAGGGGCTTTGCTACATGAATCCACCATCTTTATTTAGATAATTTGGAAGATAGACATTCTCTGTGGTGGGTGCTGGGAAGAGACGGGAGGCCTGAGCCATCTTTAGAGACACCATCCTCTGTAAACATTTGACAGTCCTGAGCACATAAGACATAGAGATTTAAAAAAAAAAATCCTAAATTATCTGAATGCCTAGCCCTGGCTTGCCCTAAGTATGCGTTATACCAGAAGCCCTGTTTAGGTGCGCAGTTTCAATAATGCAGAGAGTAAACTCTCAGTCATTTGGTGTGGTTAGTCCTGTTTATTTCCTCTTCCTTTCCTCCTCCGCGCTCCCTGTACAGGACTCCAGTATATTGCCTTTAGCCATGCAGCAAGTTGGTAGGATCCAGTTCGCCACTCTAACACCTGTAATACTGTAAGGACCAAACACTGCGTGATCACAAGGGAGGAACAACCGAGGAAAAATACCCATCTGGTTCAGCTGTGGAAGGAACTTAGAGGTAAATAAAAACGAAACCGTCTCCACGGTCACACCAGAGAATCGTTGTCCGTGGGAAAACAGCGCCCCCTGGTGCGTAGCCAGAGTTCTCGTCTTCTCAGCGCGCCTAGGGAGAGGGACTTTTTACAATTTGGCCAACATCAAGGACGTAGACAGGGATGTGGCAAAGCCGGGCTTTTCTCTTGCATCTTCTTCTTTCCCTGTGTGTGAGACCACGCCCCATCGATGATCTTACATGAAACCCAGACTTCGTAGTCCCGACAAGATCAGTGAAGGACATAATCTATGCCAGCGGGCCATGGACGCTCTAACTCCATGCCCTCTGATACTTTCGGGAAAATAAGACATGCTATTGAGGTCTCTTAGTTTCTGGGAGTGAATGGATTATTTTCACGCACTGTGGAGCTACCTTTTGGAAAGATCCAATTTGGCTTCTCTTAGTTTCAGACTACATAGCTATTATTGACCATTTCTACACACAGGAGACGGCCACTTAAAAGAAATTCCACACTAGCTCAGAATTGAGTGTAACAAAGGATTATTTATTAGGGGTAGACACACAGATCGCAATCCTCTGTTGGAACAGGGAACAACAACCGAATCCCGCAGCTGGAAAAGAGGCAGGCTTTACATCTGCATATATGGTGTAAGAGGCCACGCCCAAGTGGGCCCGTAACTTAAAGGCTACTGGCGGTAGGAATTCCTACAGCACTGTTCTCTGCTTTCTAATGGTGGATTTGCCACAATTTGGATGTTAGTTCCTCTGGGTAACTCCTGTGTGTAGCAATAAATTCCCAGTTGTGATGTTCATCTCATGTCTCTTGGGGGAACCGTCTGGTACAGCCCTTGCTCTCTGCGTGACAAAGATGGAAGCCTGGGAGATCTGTAAGAGTTGCCACCATCATGCAAGTCTCATTCTTCACGAAGAGACCAAGCTCATTAGAGCAGAGGGTTTCAATTCCCTTCTTCCCAAACGCTTAAGGTTCCGTCGTTTTTCTGAAAAGGGCAGTGTTTGGCTTAGTTCTCTTGTCTTCCTTCCCATATTCGCACCCCTTGGAAGATGCCCAGTAGGTACCAGAGATGTGTGCAAGCGATCATGGCTGCGTCAGCAGGGCAAGAGAAATTAGCATCTGCAACAGACGTGTGGTATTTGACTAGCGTTGTGTAGGCCTGCACGGTATCAGTATGGCGTGGGTTACATACGTGTTTCAATTTACCTTAACAAAATATAATCCAGGCAGCTTTCCTTAGGTGCCCGGACTACAGCTGCCTGTGGGGAGGTGCTCCACGGGCCCCACCTTTGACTGTCCCGCCAGGCGTTTCAGTTTCCTGATCTCACTGAATGATCAGGTCACTGGGGGCTAGTGCCGAACCTCGAGAGGGAGTCTACCAAAAAACCCAGAAGCCCTTTCGGCTCCATCCTGCTTCATCGTCTTTGTTCCCTGCACCAGCAAGACTAAAGTTCCCGTGTGACCTCCTCACCTTCTCTTCCACGAAGGCCCAGTACAGAAATGTTCATGGTCCGTGTGCCTCTCGCCATGGCAATAGCCCCGAAGAATCCAGCCAATTAAAGAAGCAATCACTTGGGACTGCTTCTGGAGTCTCTTTCAGGACCTCATATGTCGTATGAGGAAGCTTACCAACAGAAAAACCTTTTTATCCAACTAGATGTAGGGCCCCAGTAGTAGGGCTCCTGTCTCCAGAACTGGAATAGTTTACAAATCGGTCCCATTGGCCCCTCTGCAAGTCGTTCTTGCTCAAGGGACGTATTGAATACCTTCCCTCAGAACCCCAGCACCAGCTAAATGTGTTCACGTGCTCCCATAACACCCTGGCTTCAGTTCATTTCCTCACTGTGCTGATCAATTCCCATTTGAACGATTTTATTTGAGGCAAAGTCTTAAGTAGCCCAAGTTGGCCCCCAAAGCGCTATGTAGCTGCGGATACTCTTGAACTTTTGATCTCGCTGCCCCCGCCCCCTCGCAAGAGCTGTGATTTCAAGCATGTACCAACCACTACACCATATCTGGCTAAGGATGCCAGTTTCAGGCCTGCATCAGAGCCATCCTTAGGAAGGCTGAACCTAGTGCTCCCGCCACCCACCCACCCAGAGTTCTGCTTACAAACTGCAAGCCGGGTCCTGTCTGTACCCAGGAGCTCCCGAACACAAATCCTCTGTTTTTCTCTTTGCTGACAGTAAATATCTCCTGCATTTTCTCATTGCAAATCCTTTCAGCAATTATTCTGAGCTGCTGGGCATTTATTCTTGTTTGTTGTTTGCTTTCAACATAATGTTTTTATTGATTCGTTGAGATTTTCACATCATACACCCTGATCACACTCATTTCCCAGTCCTTCCATGTCCGCCCCCGCTTGTGACCTCTCCAACACACGCACACACTCACACACTCATGCACACTCTCACACACACTCACACACATTCACACATGTGCACACTCATTCACACACATACTCACACACATCCACATACACGCACACACGCAACACATACATACACACACACTCATACACACACTTGCACACACACACATGCATGCACACACACACACACACACACATCCAGTTTGTGTATCTATATACTCACTGGAGCTTGGCCAAACTCGCAGAGGCCTGCTCCTTACATGAAACTGAGTCCTTCCCCTCCTTCATCCCTCCCGGAAGCCGTCAGCTGTAGAGAGAGTTACTCGTGGCATCCTTAACACACGTTTTAAGAGCTCTCGTTGATGGCTTCCTGTTCAGGCTGCCCCTTTGGGGGGAAGGGCAGGGACGAATTAGGGGTCGTCACAGAAGCCTTCCTTGCCCCCTTTTTAACAAGTGTGTGTTTGCAGTCATTGATATAACTGCAAAAGTGGTTCCCTGCTCTTGGTTGCTGTTTATTGAGACAGGATCTCTATGTAGTTCTGTCTGTTTTACAGATCACTATGTAGACCAGGCTGGCCTTGGACTCAGAACTCTGCCTGTCTCTGTTCACAAGTGCTTTCCAAGTACTAGGATCAAAGGTGTGTGCTGCCATGTCTTGAACATCTATTTATTTTAGTGTGTTACTATAAGGTTTTTTTCTTTGTCTCCTTTTCATCCCCCCTGCTGCTCTTGTTTAATTTGAGACGGGGTTTTCTTTGTGTAGCTTTGGCTGTTCTGGAACTCTCTCCATAGACCAAGCTGTCCTCAAACTGAGAGATCCGCCTGCCTCTGCCTCCTGAGTGCTAGGGTTTAAGGTGTGCACCACCAGTTTTCCCTTTTTAAGATGTGGGTTCTGGGGATTAAACTCAGGCCAGCAAGCTTGGCTGGAAGGGTCTTTACCTGCTGAACTATCTCACCAGTTCCTTATGGGTATTTAAAAAGAAATAATATAATTTTAAGTCTGTAATACCTTAGGTAAGTGGACAAATCATTTGAGAGACATATTCTACCAAAATTCACTTGAAAGAGAGAAAACAGCTCGCTTCAATAATGACAGCCAAGTAGGGTTTAGTTCAGAAATGCACAGATAGTTTTAGCATTTAGCATTAAACCAGTTTAATTCATTATAGAAACAAACAAAGAAAAAAAATGCTTGTTCTAGGTATTTCTGTTGCTGTGATAAAACCATGACCAAGGCGACGTATAAAAGAAAGCACTTATTACGGCTTACCGTTTCAGAGGGGTGGAGTCCGTGACGGTTGACAGGAGGAACAGCCAAAAACTCACATCTCCATCCACAGCCACGAGGTAGCAAGAAAGACAGTAGGAATCACAGTCCTCTGAAACCTCAAGACCCTGTGACACATCTCCTCCTCCAAGGGTTCACCCCCTAGTCCTCCCAAACAGTTTCACCAGCTAGAGGCCAAGCATTCAAATATAGGGGGCCATTCTCTCTTTTTAAAAAAAACTTTTAATTCTTATTTATGTGCATTTATTCATTTATTTATTTTTATTATGTGTATTTACCTGCATGCATATCTGTATGAGGGCATTGGGAACCCTAAAACTGGAGTTACAGTTATAAGCTGCCCTGTGGATGCTGGGAATTGAATGTAGATCCTCTGGAAGAGCAGCCAGTGCTCTGAACTGTTGAGCCATCTCTCCAGCCCCCATGGGACCTTTCTCATGCAAACCACCACAATCATGTCAATAGATGCAAAACTTCCCTGCCTAACAATAATAAATAATAACATATTTATTAATGAAAAAATCCTCAAAAATATTTGTAGAATTAACTTTGCTGTTCCAGTGAAGTATCTATCAAAACCTACAGTAAACATGGTAGTTACTAGTCAAAGATAGGGTACTTTCCCCCAAAATGGGGGAACAGTGCAAGGTATATCCTTCTACCAAACCTATCAACATTATTTGAGAAATCCTACCTACTGCAATTTGGCAAGAAAAATTAATAACAAAAATTAGAAAGGAGTAAATAAAATACTCTTTATTAATAGAAAAGACAATTGCGCATGCAGACATTTCCAACAAATTAAAAAGGAAACTCCTGGAATGTGAGACTCTAACCATATCCCAGAATGTAATCTCAATGCACAAAAGCTAACTGCAGCAAACTAGAATTTAGAATTTTCATGCGTCATTTTCACTCAGAACAAGAAAAGAAATTTGTCATACGTCTATATAAGTATGTGCAGGATTCTACACTTATGAAAGAAAGCCTAAATATATTCAAGACATACCATGTACATATATGCATACATGTGTGTGCCTATGTGTGGGTGCATGTGCACATTTGTGCTTATGGGCTTGAGGGTCAGGGGGCATTGCTTGGGTACAGCCCATCTTTTATTTGACACAGCGTCTGTCATTGCCCTGGTCTTTGCTACACTGATCAGATGCGCTGGCCAACAAACCTCCCAGGATCCCCTGACTCTACCTCCCATCTCCCAAAGCACACTTTTTAAAATCTTCTCTTTCATTTTCTTCAATTCTAGCATGGCAGAAACTGTGATCACTGGGGAGGAATTTACAATGGAGACACAGCTCGATGGGGATCCTTAG